GTATTCATTAATAACCTGTTTTATTGTTTTGATATACTCATCATCTGTTAGGTAGGAATTATTCATTTTCCAAAAGGATCTACCTCTTGTTGGTTTAGTAAGGTTTAATTTTAACGAGATAGCCATGTGATCTGTATGTTTTATAATTGCAGGTCTTATGTCGCATGTATTAACAATAGGCCTGGTATCCTCGTTAATTAACCAAAAGTCTATTCTACTTTTCTCTGACCCATTTTTTCTTTTCCATGTAAATTGTAACTTGTTTTGATTAATTTGTCTCCAAATGTCAGTTAGTTTATTTTGTTTAATGAGCTGTGTTAAGCTGTTGGTAGTTGTGTTTCGTTTATTTATATTAGTTTTTCTGTCTATTTGTTTTAAGGTGTCGTTATAGTCACCCCCTATGATGAGAGAGCCTTTTGCTTCAGATTTTATAACTTCATTGATTCTTTTAAAAAACATGTTTCTGTCTTGTGGGTTGTTTGGTGCATAAATATTTATCAGTGTGTATGTTGCACGTTTTAATAAAGGACACAGTCACTCGTTGCATATATATATTGAAGCACAACTGTGTTCTCAGGCAAGACATTAGAAAATGTTCTATCAGAGCTTTAATTCTGACTTCATCAACATATTTCATGAGTAGGGTGTTTGTGTCAGTATCGTATCAATATTGACCTGCGTCTATTGGAGCAGAGGATTATCATTGAATCAATAAACGAAATTCATATGAAAGCATGTCTTTTGTGACGGAGGCATATTGATGTTTAGTTTTACATTCACTTGACTTAAGACAAAACAAGAAAACTACATCTGGCAAGTGGAAAACACTTTTCAAACCTGGTAGAAACACAAGTCATGTCATGTGTCAGTTAATTATATAATAATTATCATACATTATTTAACATATACCTCAATGAAATGGTAACCATGGAGCACACAACAAGGTTCCGGCATGAATTGTGATTGAAACGTTTAGTCAAACAGTTTTAAGATGTTTTAAATGTATTACGAATCAAAATAAAGTATCCAGGTACAACAATTTCTTTTGTTGTTTTGAGCGTAAATATTAGAATTACATCTTTTTAACATTCGGGATGGTGTACAACACTGTTGCGTCCAAACATACGTTGAAAGATGCAAGGTCAAAAAGGCGCATTTCAATTGTTACATACATGCACAATAAAACTGCGATTTCTTACACTGTATATATTTGTGTAGCTACCATCTTGTGGCAAATTATCAGCTTCTTTAACTTATTCACCCTTGAAGATACAGTTGACACATTCGTCATTCCGGGAATCCGTTGTCTTAACATTGTGACGTCGTGCCTACACAAGTCTTGTGTAGGCACGACGTCACAATGTTAAGACAAGTCTGAGACTGTTTCTTACACGGCTTTCCATCATGGAAAAACTTACATTACTAAGTAAGTAGCCCCTCATGGAGTATTTCCATGTCCTAATGCTCCATCCCCAATGTCGGCAGGCACTTATGTCATTAGAGCTTGGTGTTTGGAAAGCCATTAAATGAGATGTTGTAGGTAAAAGATATCAAGTTAAAAAAAATCAAGTGATTTTCAAGTTTGGTGGCTGGAATTTGACAGGTGTCAGTGTTAGCCAGTGGTCAAATCAGTGGGCAATGGTTCTCTGCGTTCTTCTCTCGATTAACCGAGGGTGACTTTGACCTAATTAGAGACGTGCTTCATCATTAACTAGAAACGTGCCTCGAAATCAATAGGACCTTAAGATGCGTCAACGTTCTCCGCATAATCCCATCATATTATCTACGTCACACTTGAAGGCAAATAACATTACCTCCCAGTTATGCTGGGTTCCTGATCAGGTGGAATAATGTTATCAAAAGGCAGATTGTGTCGCAAATGCAGGCCTTATCGCTTCGTGTACCATGCACCAGGTGACTTTAAACTTTATGTAACAGATTTTAAACCACTCATAGGTCAGTGGCAAAATAAGATGGAACCAATAAATAGACAACAAATTACATGTATTCTTAATGATACCTTCGATCGTGAAGGGCGTTTTAGCTATGGAGAAAGGTGCAGAGACGGATTTGACATTTATATAGTACGTACAGTATTTATATTTTTAAACATAAATACCAGATTCAAAGCATACCATGAAAAAAATACCGTTTACTGTAACACTGTATATTAGAATGATTTGACCAATCGCAAACATGCGATATCTTTTACATTTAATAATAAGCCATCAATTTATTTTGAAACCTGAAATATACCCATAACTTTAAATATACGCCCTTTTAATGTTGCGTTTTTTTTTTTTTATAAACGAGAAACTGGTTTGTCTTTTACCTTTTATATTTTCGTTTATTTGACGTTTTTCCCTTTAGAAAATATCTTTCTCTGAAAGCAAATCTTTTATCAGAGAAAACGGCGTACCATCAGTTTAGTATGAATTATGGTAGCGAACAGATTTTAAAATTCACATACGGATAAAAAAATCTTTCCGAGTTCTAGAGACGGAAATAAAACTTTACATGGATTACTATGAAGTTTCGAAATACAAAACCTGATACAAACCAAACAGTATTCGGAAGTATTATAATACCGAAGCATGATTAGCTAGTAAGATTTGATAATGTACAAGTGGGCTTCCTTGCTTTTAAAGCTAAACAATAGTAGGTCTTTTTCTTAATACAATGAATATCTAATAGCGTTTAAACTATAATCGTATTTATAGATGCTTCATCTGTCGTCATAGCTATATACTTATCAGTGACAGGGCAAGACTGAGTAATTTGGTTACACATTTATACATATACGAGTTTCCTCTGGCCCTGACACTAGACTTAAGACATTTAAATGACAATAGCATAAGAGCGTATCTGTTGAGTGAATCGACAGAGAGAAAACAATATCTGAAATAGCTATAAAATTTGTTCTTTATTTGGAATAATTTTTCTCATCATGAAGAAAGTTGTCAACACAACAAGAGATACAGACATGTATAAGAGATACCTTTAGGCATGAAAAACACTGGCATTTACAACGATAATTATATAAACATGTCTTACGGTGGGTGGACCTGCCCAGTGTATAACTAACACACACCCCGCCCTCGTATAACATAAATACATGTACTAGGTTGATATTATTTGACAAGTCTATGATGGTAGAGATCAAGTTCTCACGACTCTAGATCTGTGTAAGTCATACCGACAGAACAACCATCACTATTTTCATTATTTTTATGTTTGGTTTAAAACTCACAACTTCAATAAACATTTTTTGCTGACAGAAATGATAATGTTTTTATAATCCGTCTCCATTCAGACACAACAACATTCATACATATGTAGATCGGTTTCCATAGTTCCGTGTCAAAAGTAGCTTTACCAAACACAATTTAATACAAGTACTAATCAAAATAATTTTATTCGACACATGATTTAGATCACTAGACCACCCTCCATACTCCGGGGTTACGCTCACTTGCGTTCTTTGCAGGGAGCATTTACAAGTGGACGTAACCCCTGGAATATCCTTTTAACATTAACGATCCCTGCACCGCTGCCAAAAAACTGTAACTACGTATTGTAAACTGTTTTCGCAGGCATTTCTGTAAAACTACAGCGGGGATGGACCGAGATTCGAACCCCGGACTTCAGATTGATATACTATCGCTCTAACCGAATGAGCTTCATTTTGTTCCTGGTCGAACGCATCTGTCCAACCGTGCTCATTATAGGTAAAACCAGTCCGTGGGAAAGGGATCCTTAATTACCACTGATGGGCCTTACATGGACAGAATGGTCAAAGGTGCAATCAATATTTAATTTGTTCGGCTTTGGCATAGAAATACGAAAGTTTTTAATAGTTGCTTCTTTACTTTGTTGTATTATTTGACAATCCAGAAAGATTAAAACGCAAACGATACTTAGGTTGAAAATAACTGATTTCAACAGCTGATTCTTTTTGATAATGATAACACATATCACATTTGCCATCATACCGTAACTCAATTATCGTCAAGTATGACGTCATGGACAAAACAAATGTTATGATTTATGAAACATCATGGTACCCTTTTGTTTGATATAAGGACAGTGATGGAACTATGGATTTACATTGTAGTGTACAGGACAAAATAATGTTCTAGAGGAAGGGAGGTAATTATAGAGAGAATATATGTTAGGACATATATACTGCTGGGAACGTACACTGTGATACACGAGAACAGCTTGTACTTCAAAATAACATTTAAAACAATGTTGCATTTTAATAATTTAGTTAAAAATGATTCAATCTAACATTAAAATCACACAAAAAATGTGAACTACATATACATATGTTTTATATACACAGATATATATACATAAATTATTTGCACACACAATGTAAATTTCACTAAATACATTCTTTACTTATAGGCAAATTTTCAAGACTAGTACATATTTTGCCTGTCAAGGTTATGGCGATATCGAAAATCGGTTTGTCCCAAAATTGTGGTAATTGAGTTCACAATACTATTAAACATTTATTTGCACACTTTTAATGAATGATAATGCATTGAACATGTATTTTACTCATCAATCCCTGAAATTTCATAACGAACTATTCCAACCTTTGAATTGGAAGAGTTCAAATGTGTCGTCAGGGGTAAATGAATTAAAAGTTGTATTGAGAAAAACGACTGTCACTGACTACACTAAAGTAAAATGCTCGTTTTATTTCAAAGTACATTGATATATGTTCAATGCAATAATCATTACATAAAGGTAAACGTTTCATGTCCATAGTCACACAATCTCTTCCAGCACAATCCTTACACATGTACTGCATATGTATACGGTACCTTAATAATCATAACCGTTTATACTTCACATTTTTTTCATGTACACACTCATCCAAAATTAAGTGACGCAGGCTAACTAGGGTAAGAAAGCTTCAGTAATATATCATGATATGCAGCACTTTTATCAGTGTTCATTATACAACACCTATATACTATCAGTTAAATTCATTTATCATCCAGATGATAATTAATTTTAAAATAAAAACTGAATGTAATATTTATTGCCTCACATTACTTGTAATAGTAAAGTTGTAATGGTATTGACCATCCATGTCAAAACTACACCTCGTACAAATACCTATAATTATAAAATTATGTAATCAATTATTAGTCCTATTAGGAGAGTTTGATGACATCCACACCTGATTTGTTTATCAAGTAAAGTTCACAACACAATACCTAGTAAACACTGACAATATATATATATACCTACTGGATACCTAAATGTCCTTCAAGCGAAGTTTCCACAATACAAGTTTGACATATCATCAACATACACAACCACATGTCATCATACACTTGTACTATAGTATACATAGGGTGGACAAACATGTCAGCCATGTGAATAGGGCTCAACATTAAGTACTACATATTCGTAAATGTTATTTTTATGAATTTTGATTATAAAATTAAATATGAAGTTTCAGTAATCACAGTTTAATTATGAAACATCAGAAACATTTACAACTTTATCTTTTTTTGTGAATTCGAAAAAATCGTACAAAATACAATTATATACTAAAACAATTTTGTCTCATGAATTTTGGTGGATAACGTTTACCTTGGCACTTCATACATAAATTAACTGTCGCAATAGAAAAGAATTTTGTTCGGACTCCTCAAAACATCTTATTCCCTGCTTTTGTTTTTCATTTCAGCAGCGTTGCTTTGTTTTGTTTAGGGTTTAACACCTATAGCTATAAGGTCATATGATGAGAGAACATTTTACAGTACTAAGTTATACTCATCTTTTAACTCATTCATCCCTGAAATTTCATAATGAACTATTCCAACCTTTGAATAGTAATAATAATAACAATGTAAAAGAATTATGTAATCTAGGAAAGTATTTATATTGTGCTACGAGAAAACTTAGAGAATTCAATGTCTGATATGGAAAACTACTTGTGTACTTTGTAAGCTTACTCTCCACTTAATCAATTTAAATTTGTATAACAATCTGTTGTACATGTATCACATGATGTAATTGTTGGTCAATTAACCTATGAGCCAGCCGGATGGCTCTCGGAAAAAAAGAAACTGACACTGACACTGAAACTGAATAGGAAGAGTTCAAATCTGTCTTCAGGGGTGAATGAGTTGAGATCTACATGCATAAAACAATACATCGGAATTCAAACGGTTACTGACTTAAAAATATCATTTGATAAAATGTGAACATAATGCTATTGGCTTACACTTTCGGTAATAAATATTAAATCACAAAGTCCATAATAATATAAAGCATAATAATTTAGTTTTAATACTTATTGATTTTTTAATATTTGGAGGAATCAATTATGGTATTTCTATTACACGTGGTCTAAAAAGGAAGAAACCCAGTTCAAACATTTCTGTTTCAAATTGCGAAAGCTGAACTAAATGCACATGTAGTACAGTGTGCATTCTAAACCAGTGGGGAAAATATATAACTGCAAAGAATGTGGTTGTCATTATAATCAAAATTTCTGAAAACGTGTCATTACAAATGTACTTGTATTCTGATTCACCTAATTATATAATGAAGCAAATAATAACTATTCATGTTATACATGTTATGCAGTCCACTTGTAAACCATGTGGAGATATTAGTATTTTCCACTCATTGTTCATCTACGTACACATCAGAAATAACCACAGCAGATCCCATATACAATATATATATCACGAAGATTAACAGACAAGATTTAAAGCTACATATGTTATATGACATTTGCAGTTTGATTTCTGACATTTCCAAACACCATGAGGTAGCTTGACAGTCACTGTATGTACCCTATAATGCAAATTAATACACTCACAACCCATTTTCAGAGTCATTCACTGTTTAAAATGGGTCTTCCAATATTTCAGTATCTTTCTGAAACTTTAAGCTACCTTTACCATGAAGACTGTGATAATTTTATATGTTATGAAATAGCCTAAGTGTCTCAAAATCACAATATGGAATGAAATCTAGATGATTTGCAAATAAATACAATATTGCAATTTGCATAAAAACACATGTGCATGTAGATGTAAAATGTATGAGCTTAATTTTTGCGTGTCAAATTATTTTTTTTTGTAAATAGTAATTTCATAGAGTTTAAACTTTCATTCAAAACCAAAACCCCTGTGGTAAATGTAATAGTCAATAGCTCTAACTGTCTTATGATCAAGGTAACACATTTATAGGAGCTTTTTTTGTAAAAAGAAATCGGCCAAAAACAGTGATTGATAATAGATAATTCAAACACCAAAACAGATTTCTGAAGAAAACAGTTTAAAATTATCTTAATGATTAATACATTTTCAAATTTGAACAAGTTGAAATGACTTCAAAATGTAATAAGTTTAGCATTACACTATTTATATCAAAAGTACGATTGTGATAGTTATTTAATTAATTATGATTAGACATTGGTATTTATTCGAGAAAAAAATACTAACCTTTAGCAATCTGATTACCATCATCTATTTCATGGCTACATATGCTGTATAAATGCCTCAGGTGTTGTGTTGAGTAAAGAAAGCCACATAACAGATGATCTTAATTGGTCCTTTACAGACAGTAATTGGTTTGTATGTTTAGAATTTATAGCAAACTTGGCTACTTGACATAAAGATGTGTACCATAAGTCTATAATACATATTTAGACAACTAGTATTAAATTCAAGGTTCCTGATGGAGAATAATCAAAAATCTGATTTACTGCTTTACTGACCTTTAGTGTCTAAGAAGGTCAGATGAAACCTGAAGCGAAACTGAACACACAAATATGAATGTATTTGTTTAGGATTAAGTATGTAGATCAAGGGAGACAATTCTTTCTAAATGATTATAATAAAGATGCACCTACACATGTTCAGGTTATCTTGAGAATCAAATATCATTCACTTAAATTCATTTTGTAAAAAGGGCTATGTCAGCAATACTGAAATACATTGTACTTGACAATTTAATTGTTTGTGTTTTTCTAACTATGTTACTGTGAATCCTAAAGTGGAATATTGTCCTGTTCACTCACAAGCTCCAGCCCGGATGGCATCAGGTTCATTAACATCTCCATGCCCCCTGGTTCATCATGCTTTCGCCGGTGTCGCTTGAGGTTGTCCTTACGACTGAAACTTGCGGAGCACACGTCACATGGGTACCATCTGCCTATATGAGAGTTGGCATGGCGTAAGAGACTGTCTTTTCCACTCAGTTCTTTTAGACAGACAGTACATGTACATTGATTGGGAAGTTCGAGCTCATGAACTTCTCCGTGATGGAGAATATCTACTGGGCGTTCAAACACTAAGCCACAGAAATGACAAATTGGGGCAGTCTTATTCACGGCACCTTTTCGACCTTTTGGAACTCCCATGCTCCGGAGAAAATCTGGAGTCCTCTCAGAGTAGGAGTCCATGCTAGTTGACTGATCTGGACTATCAACTCCTAGTATGTTAGAGTCAGAGGAATTTTCCCCAAGGTCCTCCAACCCTCCTTCGCCTCCAAATCCTTCTGAAGATCCTGAAGGCTGGCCACTGTCATCTCCCATTAGATTATTAGGAAATCCTGTCAGATTTTGTCCTCTTTGGTTTTGACTTTGAGAGCTATCCTCATCCATGTCTGTGAACTTACCTAGGGACTCAATGTCAATCACATCCATAGCCTGCAGTTCCTCCTGTATACTTTTATGAGTAACGCTGGAGTGTGCTTGGCGACCTTGAAGGAATGTGTAGTTAAGGTCAGAAGTATAGTGGTTGCTATCTGGGAATGTCAGGATTGGTTTGATGTCCTGTTCTTCTGTCTCCTCATAATGTTGGTGTGTTTGTGTGTTACTGGTAGATGGCATTTCCTCGGAGTGCTCCACGACAACATGCCTTTTTAGTTCCTGGATGCTATTGAACTGAACATCACAGGTAGCACACTTGTAGCTGAGAGCTGGTCTTGGATTACTTTCATCACTCGGACCAGGTGCAGGAGGAAAATGACCAGGGTTTTGGTCAGTGTCCGACTGTTCATGTCCAGTGTTTTCCTCCCTGCCACCACTATATTCTTGCTGATTTTTGTCATTGTCAGTCTGTGGTTCTGTCTTTATCTCAGTGTCTATATCCCTGAAATCTTGTTCGGACATGTTGTCGTTACTGGAGTCGGGTGTTCCGAAGTCTGAGGGCGACTCATACATCTCTTGTCCTATGGCATCCATTTGTTTGTGTGCCCAGTTCTTACCAAATTTCAGAACCAGTTTTTCCTTTGGGTTAGGTTTGAACCTTTTACCTTGGCTGGTGCTTGGAGACTGTTGTGGAGGTCTTTCCATGACCCCAATGCTGGCCAGGAGACCACTGCCCGGTATACCACTACACTTCTTCTCTATGTGTCGCTTCAAATTATCTTTACGTGTAAAGTATGCGTCACATGATGGACATGTGAACACTCTGTTGTCCACATGTGTGATGAAGTGACGTAGCAGGCCTCCCCTTAGTGTGAATTGTTTGCTACAGACTGGACACTGTTTAAACATTTCATGTAGTTTACAATGGTGAAGAATGTCACTGTAGCTACTGACCTGATCACCACATTCTGTACATTTCAAGACCTCGGACGTTAGTCGTGCATTAAGACGTGGAAATGACCGGTTTCCACCTTTCTTCCTTTTGATGGATCCCTGCTGGTCAGGATCTGACTGGCTATCATCAAAGTCATCTAGATACATCTCTTCATCATTGTCCTCCAAGTCGGAGTCCTGATCGGGTGTAAAACTCAGTTCATCTGAATTCTCTAAGAACATAGCAGGGTTGTCTTTGCACATGTTCTGCCAGTTCTTATCATGCAGCTGGACATGCTGTATGAAGGCAGACATGTCTCTCTTGCTAAAAAGGCCCTTGCAGATTGGGCAGGCCACTTCATCGGAGTCTTCCGAGATCATCCCGTGGTCCTCCAGTGCGTGTTCTACAATTGACTCCCACGAATTTATTACTTTACGACAGTATTTACATTTGTTTGGACCCGTACTTTTTTTATTTAACAAAGTATTTTTTCCTTTAAAGGTTCCTCGTACTTCAATTCCTTTGTCTGTACCTACATTTGGTTGTGGTAAATTAATTGAGTCCAGCTTCTGTATCAACCCACTAGCAAGACCCGGCATTTCCACAGGAGGAAATGACGAAGGTTTCTTTTGAGCTTTCTTGGGTTGGTGCACCTGAGACGGTTTCTTTTGGCTGCTGTCATTCCTCCCTGGAATAGTTGGTGTAGGAGATACATCCTCACTGGTCCACAGTTCCTCTATCTCAGCATCTTCCTCTAAATCATCCTCGCCCTCCTGCTGGACCCACCCAGCCCCTGTATTTTGATTTAAACTGGGCTGGAAAGATGGCTTCCTGGGTACAACTTTAACTGGTTTACTTGGTGCGACAGGAAACCCTAGTGTCCGTTCACAAAGTTCTGGAGGGGTGATGAAGCTCGGACAAGGAACTGGAACAACACTCAGGGATGCAGGTAATGATACTGTGACCTTCTCGTGATCATTACTTTTCTCCCCTGTCTTGGTGGCATCTACAAAAGAGGACATGTAAAGGTAATTAAACAAAATCCACATTGTATAAGGAGAACTTGAAGGAATATTTGATTAGGATTAGAGATTTGATTTGATTTTTGAGCAGTGTCTCAAAGTCAGTTGTATGCCATTTTATAGATGACAAAAATGGTCAAATTAGACCAAGGCCAACAGGAATTTTATTTGATTCTTGAAAGTAATTTCAGAAATCAAATTGAATTCTTCGTGAATTTAGGAGAGTCCAAATATAAGTTAAATAGACATGCCCTTCAACCCCGGAGAGTCGAAGCTGATTTGGGGGAATCAAAAATACACCCAATGGTTAACTCATAAAAGCCCTGACAAAATGGCCCACACTTTAAATGACCATTAAAGCTATATTTTACCATTATTAAAGTAGTCCTCAACAGATTAATACCAGTATGAGATCTTGGAAATGATAAGATAAAAGGACTATTGTCTTTTTATTTCTAAATACAATCAATTACGAACGAGACAAAATTTCAAGATTTCATTACAGCATAGCAACATTCATTTGGTTGAAGCTAATAAGGCGCTATTTTATATTTTGTAAACTGCAATATATTTATAAGCAATATAAAATAAATTATGAAGATCTTTAATCTTCAGACTGGTGTAAATTTTCAAATACCTGCTTGAGACCCATCAAACAACTTCCTTAAAAATTCTCTGGATATTTTTTTAGGATATGTCCTTTAAGACAGGTTTTAAAAGAACAGGTTGGGCACTGTGCAATGGCGCATATTGGTTATAATCCTGCATTTTGGTAAACGTAACCCAGTTGAGTAACGTATATTGCTGAAATCAGGAATAAAGTGAAATGAAAATTCATAAAGTTCTTTTAAACATTAATTATGAACAAAAGAGGGAATCTTCTTTCAATGTTATCCAATGGAAAATACAATGAGGTAAAGTTGTATACACAATCTTGTTAATTCAGTTGTCTAAATCTTTGTGAGGTGTGAGTAGTCGGTTGTAAAAGCCTTCAATAGGCTTGTGTTGCTTTGTTTAACCATGTACCGACTTTTAAATAAATTTTACTTGAACTTGAGTTTGGAGGTCCCAGGTTCAAATCCAAGGATGGCTATGCGTTTTTTTCCTTTTCTCATACAGTAGGACGAATACATGCTATTTTCTTTTTAATGTTTAAAAGAAAAGTATGATTTCATTTCCCTTTATTTCCTATTTCAGTCATAAAATTGTAAACAGTAAATGTAACCCCAATGAAGAATAATTAAAACGTGATACGTTTTTAAAAGGGTCTGCCAAGTAGCTCTGCCGAGGAAATCGATCTTAAACGGTTTTGCCGCAAAACAAACTTATTGTCCTACACACAACAGGTCCAGTACACTTTGCCGATTGAGCTATATAGCTGTAAAGACCTAAAATAGCTCTATTGACCTATGTGAAATAGGTCTTTTGAGCACTTTAAAGTGATTTTCTTTTTTAAGGAAAACGAAACAAAGTCGCTTTTAAAAGGCGATTGTATCATTAAGTTGATAACAAAAGACATTAAATATGGGTTTTCTTTTTAAAAAATAATGATGTAAAAAAATCGGAAATTTTACATTTATGAAAAATGAAAATAAATATCTAAATGTATGCTTTTTGTAGTCAACATTACCATAAACCTTATTGTTTTATGCGACTTTGCTTTAATTTAATGAAATTTGAAATCTGAGAAAATATAGCTCAATACAGCTATAATTTATAGGTGTATATAGCTATATAGGTCTTTATAGCTATATAGCTCAATCGGCAGAGTGTACTGGACCTGCACAATATGTCTTTACAGTCTTGTTGAAGTCCAATTTTTCAGGGGAATGCTATAGGAGGGGTGAAATCATTTCACCTGGACAGTGGCCATGGACTTTTATAATTCATTTGTTGTATCATATCCGCATTTCATTTATCAAGATATGTGATAAAATTATATGAACAGAATAAATGGCAATAGCTCAGGTCGACTGCAAAATAGTCAAAATATTGATTTCCTAAAGAAACGCACCTGAATTAAAATCTGACTTCACAAATAAGATCGAAACGGCCCCGACACATTTGGCTAATTTTGCTCCTGCGCTCAATTTCAGTGCGTCATCTTGTAGTCGATGTCGACTTATCAACACGATTTCTCCCCTTTCTTCGTCGAATTCCGCCTCTGTCGAATTCCATGCCACCATGACTGCAAATCACTAAAAATGTTTAATGCTTTCTTCCATCAAACAACATAGCCGCCGAAACCGGAAACAGCTACCCGGAAGTTGACTTAATATATGAGGGATAGTTCGTTGTTACGTATTTTGAGGTACGTACACTAAAGGGTTTATTAGATACAGTAACAGCTAAGGAGTAGTCTGTAAGTAATAATGAAATGGACCAAAAACGTTAAACAAAATCTTTTGGTCACTTAAAATTTGGAATCAGTTTAACTAATATGGTAAATGTGTGTATTTTTTCAATAACTTAAAAAAAAGTTTTATAAATAAATAAAAAAAGCCAATAAAAGTCCTAACACCTTTACATTAGTTAAGGGCAAAATAACGTAATAAAATAATCTAGATCCAATGCTAATGCATATTTGAATTTTAAATACAAGCAAATCTAGAGACTAATGACTTCTTTTGGTCTCATTGACAACATTTAATGAACAAATAATAGAAAAGCCAATCTAAAGGCGTATACATATATATAGTCTGCTGAAATTAATACATTGTATCAGAGACGTATATATCACGTGGTACATTGAAACTCTGCAGTGGCGCATCCTCGATATCCAGGAGTTACGCTTATTTCCTTTTAAAATTTTAGTCTGATGAAATAGTGTTGTTATGTGTATACTGTATGTTATGTCTACACACATTGACAAATCTCGAAGATTTATGTGATTAAAAAAATACTTACATGTAGTGAAGTACAAAATGTAATAGTATTCATATAAAAAGTAGGGTTTTACTCGTTAATAATCAAACTAAAAGAAGTTCCCAGAAAGCGGGAGATCGATTTTAGGGCCTAGTAGAATTTATTTTCAGTGTACCCCACCCCCACCCTCACCCCCACCCCATCCTCTGGTGCTACGCGTCTCGGACGCTCGACCCCATGTAAGCATATATACACTCCGAAAAACGATTTGCTACGCCACTGTCCTAAAATGTAATACAGCAAATGCACAGACCTCTAAATTACAGCTATTTTAATTACATGTAAATAGATAATAAAACCTTTAAATTTCCTAAACTCATCAAATTTTACACGAGAGTAGGATATTCGAAATTACACTTCAAAGTTTTTTAAATATACGATTTTTATTACTTTCATGATCTTTTGAATTTGCAGGGTTTTCTGTTACAATATTGACATACATGTACATACATGTGTCTATATCTATAATAGATTAGACTTTATTTTGTTAGCAGACGCTTATACGTAAATGACTGAAATGATTAAATCAGATCTTGAATGAGCGTCCTTGGACATTTCGACCATAGGTGATTCCGTTTTACTGATACCGCTATTTTAGCCGTATCAATGAAGACTATATGAAGATAACCATAGTTGTTAACTAAATAAACTTTGTTGATAACGGAACTGGAGATGCATAGAATGAGAGGGAGAACTCAATATATTAATAAAGGGGGCTCCAACAGTATAACTGCTTAACGTATGCGTTTTCCTCTCGGAACATATACTTACATGTAACTTGAATTGTACATCGATCCCGTGTGTATAAAAGTAATTTCGATATCGTATTTATAAAATTATTTTCTACTTCAAATTAAAACGTTACGTCAACGTTGGCGCATTCGTACTCTTCATTTTTTAACCGGGAGAATGACGTCAAACAAAAAGGACATGACGTCACGTCATCTGTTAAAACAGTAAGCACTGATCAACCGAACTGACTGGGTTATAGATACGACGTCGACGTTCAAGACAGGCTGGGCACTCGGATCTATTTTTGATACCCTGTGATGGCCTACATGTTTGGTTTGTATGAATTCCTCACTCAGTACTTAGCAAATCATCATTGTCTAATTTTAAAAGTATAATGGTTACAGTTAGAGACGTACGATTTAATCATGCTAGTAGTTCGTGAATCATACAAATCACTAAATCGGTACATTTGATACCGTCATTTTCAGTTCAGAGTCTATTTGGTACTTGATGGACCATTTTTTTTATTCCACAAATGTACTGTACATAACTTAGCTAAAAAAACCGTTAGACTGATTCAATAAAAAACACAGTTGCGTACTGTACAGAGTTACATTATAAGCTTAACAATGTTTACACTGAGTACCATACTGTATAGTACTGTATAGAATTTACGAAGGTATACTGTTACATAGATAAAGTGCAACAGAATATCACAAAAATAGAAATGTATTTGAACATTTTAAAACGACATAAAATTGTACGAGTTATTTCCCCTCACCTCTGACTGATTTTACGGTATTGTTCATACTGTTTTACTTGAAAAAAGGAAAATATATAATATAAGTTACTGATAATGAAAATTGTTCACGTAACAATTAGTTCTGAATACTTTTCAAACCAACTTACTTTTCAAACTTATATCAACGAAATCGCGAATCCAAAATTATATGTTCTACTGCACATGTGACACAAACTTCATTATTTGATAACCAGCTACGTGTTACTGTCCTGTAAGTGCCATTCTTGATCTATGACGTCGGTATCATGTGTATGTAACTTGGTCCCACCATAATATTGTTTTCTCGTTTGAACACAGCCGATGACGCCGAGAATATGTCACCCACCATTGAAGATATCCTGTCACATCCAGATTACAACTTAGACGAACCACAGAAAGCTATGGACAGAGAAATGGTGTGTAACACGTTATGTGGGTATTTTTCGCCATTCCCATAGACACAATGCTAAATTATACGTTAAAATTGTCATGATTAAAACTCTAAAAAAATCGATAATCATATAACTATAATGAACAGACGAGTAGAAATGTTGGATCCTTTTCTACTTGTCAGCTGGTTTTCATCACGATAGAATAAACAAACAAGAATACCGCGGGGCGGAACAATAGACGCCCGTCGAATTCATATAGTGTTATAAGTTATACTTTCTTATATTGAAATAAGATCTGCATTATTCTAAGAGTGGTAAGCTGACATGCTATATAAAATGTAGGAGAAAATCTCCGGACAAAAAATCAAATACCGTCTGAAATGAACAAAGGGTCACTTTTGCAAAAGTCGTCGAATCGAAATTCTTTTAAGGGAGACACAATTTCATATCATGATTATAATGAATACCTTGTTTAAAAGAGATCCGTTGAAAAATGTAGGAGGAGATCGCCGGAAAAAATCAAATACTGAAATAAACAAAGGGCAATAACTTTTGGAAAAATTGTCGAATCAAAATTCTTTTAAGGGAGACACAACTTCATATCATGATTATGATGTATACCAAGTTTCAAAGAGATTGATCGAAAAATGTAGGAGGAGATTGACTGACAAACAAATATTTACGCCGGCTGGACGGACGGACGGACGACCCCATACCATAATACTCCCGTCAAATTTGACGGGCGTATAAAAAGTCAGGAAAACAAATCAAATTAAACTGCATTATACCGCAATGGGAAAATAACGTAACGTGAAAGATTTATGTCTACAGAGGTGACTTATTTTGGGCCTATGCAGATTCGTAGTCCTCTTCTGGTTAGAGAGACACTGAAATTGGTCTAACGTTACTACCACATTGGAACACTTGGGCTTTATTTTTTTCTCTTCTCGCTTACCCCTTTTTTCGACCATGTCACCGATTGTACCCGCCTTCGTATGAACTTGCATTGGCTGTTGCCAAAACAAACAACCAAATCCCATTGCGTTTTGCGCTTCAAAATACCACAAAGAGAAAAGGTAAAGTACGAATAACCAATGCATGCGGTCCGTTGTATCGTTACAACGTAAACGTTCCACGACGTGTACACAGCGATGTCACCTTATATTTAATCCGATGAATCGCGTCGATATCGTAACAAGCGAGAGCTGTTCCATTAAATGCTTGCTTTGCTTCTTAAATAGAATATTGGTGTATTTATTAAGTTCCCCTAACAAAGTGGGCGCTTACTGATTTTGCTGCGTTTCTTACCATTATTAGTTTTCATGTATTTTTTTCTTCTAATTTTTCTTCCACCAAACGATGTACGGGCTTTTCTCAGACACTTATGTTCAGATAATATATGAAACTTCATATGGGCATTAGCGGGCATGTGTAGATGTGCGTAACAAGTGTTATTTTCCGAAAATGGTCCATTATTGATAGAGACCTTTAAAACATTCTATCAATCGTGTTTCTATATGGAATGTCAAGAGTTTTGTTAACACTGAAAATCAACCATACGACTCTTTATCCTTCAAATAGTGAAGCATCGACGAATATCAAACCGGCTACTTCAAAAAGTTATCGGGATAACGCTTCTAACTTAAATTTCATAGAACACGTTTTAAAGCTGTGTTGCTATAATTATGTACGTAAGTCCTGATATTACAATTCATTTGTCCCACGCAGATGTGTAAAGCCGAGGCGTTAGAGCCCCGTCCTATAGCCTGTTTCCTATATAGTGACCTGACCACCAAGAAGCTACGCGCGTTCCTTATAGACCGTGGAGCGTCGGCAGCATGCATCCTCCACCACCTTACACGACTGAACGACATATGCATGCCTCCATCCAGCACAGAGAAGTTGACGGCATTGCGACCGATAACAAGTGTCCAAAGTATAGGGACAAGTCACGTGATGCCCCCTAAAGATGGTCATGCACCTGAGGTCGTTAATAATGACAATCTTCATAAGTCAAAATCGTTTGACTACACCATCCTCACCCCGCAGAAAAGCAATAATCTACGATAGTTGACTACGCCATCCTCACCCCGCAGAAAAGGATTAATCTACGATAGTTGACTACGCCATCCTCACCCCGCAGAAAGGAATAATCTACGATAGTTGACTCCGCCATCCTCACCCCGCAGAAAAGGAATAATCTGCGATAGTTGACTACGCCATCCTCACCCAGCAGAAAAGGAATAATCTACGATAGTTGACTCCGCCATCCTCACCCCGCAGAAAAGGAATAATCTACGATAGTTGACTACGCCATCTTCGTCCATTTCAAGAGCGAATCACCGACAGCCATCATTGACTAGCTACGTCACCATTGTCCCAAATTGAGGATCATCAATAATAAATACTTGACTAACCTTACAGCATTCTTTTATCATATCGACAATGAAAGACAAGGGAAAACCTAGTCGCACAAAGAGAATCATCTACAATAGTTGAGTAATAGAATTTACCCCTTCCTTGAGGGTGTGATAGACAAGTCTCCTACCTGAGGGCTGAATTTTATATTGGTTTTCTAATCCGAGGCTCTGCCGAGGGTTAGACAACCAAAATAAATCACCCAGAGGGTTGGAGATTTCTCTGTTACACCCTCAAGGTAGGGGGTGATTGTTTTTTCTCACATCCTATTATTTCAGTCACAACTCCACCGACAGTAGTCTGCCATGTTTGAAGACAAAACTACATGTGGGGTATGAATATCGTCATTCACTTTTGATGACGTCACACTTACCAGTGACACATTTGAGTGACGTCACAATAATAGTGAAATAAAAATAACATAACTGTATATATACACACTGTCCATCTTCCATTGTTGTTTTGTATATGCCTTGAACATGTATAGGATAATGCTTTCATAAATCTTGTGCCGGGTGATGTCATGTTCATTTAAGCATTGAACTGTTTTTGTATGGAATTTATGATCTATTTGAATGACAATGCTTTGCAAGCAAACAACATAATGCGCGCTAGCTGTGTCATTCAAATAGATCATAAATACCATACAAAAACAGTTCAATACTTATATTTACGTTTTCTCTACCTCTTATGTTCTTTTTTAACTTATAATTTATATCTAAAATGAAAAATGCCCGCCTTATAGACGGTCCACATAATTTCGTTCAATAGTTTGAACAGCGTATTGTCGCGTGCTGATTGGCAAACAAAGTAGTACTTTGAAATTTTAACAAACACTTCAATTTTATTCCACAATTCAGTATCAATACTATTGCGTATGATATGTCTATAGGGTGATTTAAGTTTATCATAGAGCTCTGAGCTGAAAGTTAGATTTGAAATTGTTTCGATTTTTCCCCGGAACAAATTTCGCGCATGGACAAATACAGTGAACACCGTAAATCCGACCTTGCCCTCCACGATGGAGTTATTTTTTGGAAGTTAATTCGAACTATTCTCTTTTCTCATTTTGTGAAGAATCGAGGCGTGAATTTATTTGTTGATTGTATGGGAACCTGACAACAGTCGGTAGATTCTATAACATCCTCGTTATTTGACATGTCGTCAGAAACTGAGGAACCGTGGATGCGAGACGCGTGAAACTGATAGCGTTTGAAGTGAGTGATCTTGCGCCGGAGCACAGGTTCGTTACAAATGTCTGAAATGTTTATGTGTGCTGTGACTCATATCAGTAGGTCTGTAACATATGTGTCAGTAGGTCTATAGAATATGTGTATTTCAGACATTTGTAACGAACCCCTGTTGATCAGTGCAGTGTAACAGACGATATTTCTGATAAATTGCATGAGCGTTAAAATTGTTTCCATTGCCGGCATTGGTGATTTCAACCGATGTGCATTTTGTACGACATTGCAGACCTTGGTCTTGTTTTCGTTGTAATAAAAGTGTTTTTTATTTTATTTTTTATTTTGCACATACATTTACAATGACATTGTCAAATCTCACAATGCCAAGCGATATTTCAGCAGCCGTCATGTTTATTTATATTGGATGTTGTAGTTCCGGTCAGTGTTGTATTAATACGCTAAGAATTGTGTCTCGTGATGCATGGTAATTAAAGTCCCATCAACGACACAGCTTTCAAAGAGGCTATATAGTGACAATGCCATGCAAATGTAAATATATTATTTTGAAGGTATATCCTTTTTCATTATTGTGTGTATTGTAACGATTTCCGCCGACGGTTATCGAGGTTCGCTTCGCCAGTATAGCGAAATAGTAGTCACAGACTACTTGAAATCTGCCACATACAAAATGTCACTCCGGGCAAGCTAAGGAATCCTTCTAGAGGGATCTTCTCAGTGTCAGTTATAGTCAGAGTAAACTCAGTCAAATTAATTAGTAGAAATAAATGCCAAAGGAGTCTACAAAGGCCAGTTTTACAAGTATAAATAGTATTATTTTGTAAGTAACAGAATAATTATTTCCAATACAAATTATTCAAATATAGCAATCTCAAGCTTTCTCTTGCACGAAATTCCACGCTAATATATTATATAACAATCTTTCCCAAATTAACCAATAAATTACTAAATAATATAAGTCTCAGTCCACCCTCAATAATAAGAGTAATGCTGTCATTTGGCAACCCGAGGCAACCGGAAGTTGCCAACGTAACCAAATTACATACATGTTTGAACATAAAATGCGATCTGGAATCTACTTAGAATCTGGTTGAGCCGGATTTGACTCTAAATGTATCCTCCCGTGTTCAGTTTTCGACGGTCAATTATTTTCGACGGTCGTTTATTTCCGGGTCGCGCGCGCGCGCGCGCGCGTGCGGGTCATGTCAGGGGTGATCACGGAGGTTATGTTTTGAAGCCGGCACACTTGCAACCATTCTCATTTTTTGGGGGGGAAAATGATTATCCGTATACTGTAAGTCACTTCTATTTTTTACCGCAACATAGTGTTTAAACCCCGTTTTGCATAATTCCAAAAGTAAACCAAGTTTAACACTTTTAAAGACCCATTAAATTAACCTGAAAGTGTTTGTGACTTCTCGTCTGCTTTGCTGTCATACTGCTCCTTCGAAATCACGTGACAAATGTGGGAGGAGACTCAGTTCGGAAAAAATGTATGTAAGCCAAGAGATGTCAGCTTATAATTATCGCTGCGTACGCGATTCGCAGAATTTTAGTTTGCTTTCGTACCGACATCTTGTTGAATAAGTACATTTCCTTTTATTCGGAGACATAAATAAATGATAGTTTCCCTTATTTAAGGTAAAAAGTCAACAAAGACGAAAAAAATTGTTGACAATTTCTTCTCCCATGATCGTACAAGGTAGAAGACTGAGCAGTAACTTTCCCTTGCTATGAAAACCAAAAGTTAAATGACTTTTCCGTGTTAATTTTTGAAGTTAATGAGATGTATTCGCCTCTAACAGATATAGTTTAGCATTTCACGTTCGAATTAAAAAAAATCTGTCATATTTTGCCACCGGACAGTGGAAAGCATGGCCGTCGAATACTGATGACGTGGTACGCAAGCACACAAGTTAGGCAGTCGCCATGTTTGTTGACATTTTCTAGCGGATTATCAAATAGTATAATCGATCTTTTATAGAATTAGGCTAATAATAGTAAATGACTTAACTGGTTAGGCTTGGAATAAAATTATTTGACATGGCTGGTAAAAAGAAAGTTTGCTCTTACATGTACACCGTCGAAAACCGATGACACCGGGGTACTATACGACTCAAACCCAGAACGACCTTCACCGCCATACAGTAGTTGACGATAGCAACTGTTCAAGTTAGGTGACAGAAAACATCTATTATAAGCTGAAAGAAATCGAAAGTACATAAATTTCCACTGTGTTTATGCTTACTGGGTGACAATAATGCAGGGAAAATGCAGTCTTTACACCTTACAGCTGTTAATAATATTTATAAAAACTCTCTGAAGTTACGTCTTAAGGTTCCGCTAAAGTCAATTTAAGGCAAAAGAAAACATAAGTTTTTAGCTCTAAAATTCTCATCGGTATGTAAACCAATTCATCAAAATGTTCGTTATTGTATAAGGACGCTAAATAGCCGGCCTTGTTACAAATATTTTTGATGAGTCTTGACATATTCACCTTATAAGCAGCTGATTTGACAAGAAATCCCAAGAAGTCAGCAAAATGCAAATATCTACAAAATATAAAAAAAAAACATCTTCATCTTTATTAAGACTACTGATTTGTGACACATGGAATAGCTTTAACCCAAACCAAAATTTTAAAATGTCCTCATGAAAAAAGGAAATGGCAGATAAGATTTTGGGACTACTTTTGTGGAAATGTATGGAGGCCCTGTAGTGTATTATTTTACACCTGAGAGTGATGATATTTTCAAACTTAATCCTAAAAATATAACAGTTACCAAACTCTACAGGAATGTTGTGTACAGAGAATACATGATCCTCCCATATATTAAATGTGTTAAGTTTAAAGGTCAAGGTTTTATTCTATTAAGTCTTTGATCGCAAAAAATTATTGCTTCACATATTTCATATTGACGTTGTATAACACTCTTAAATGAGGGGCTGATTTTGAAACACATAACCTACAATTATTGGTAACATGAAATTTTCACCATTTTCACTAAATTAAAAAAACATTATGATTGAAATCTTGAAATCTTTATTGGATACTATTACATTAGCCATATATAAATTTAACCATTTGTCTATCTATATACAGACACTTCAATTATCTTCACCTCGACTTCAACCTATATGAATATAATTGAATATTTAGATTTCTTATTGAATACATGTCTACTCACTTTTAAACGTCAATAAATATCAAGGATGAAGATCTGAAATCCTCAAGCAAATGGTCAACTTCAACCGGTTCTTGCTCTCCTTGATATAGAACTTCATAAACTGTATTGTCCTCGCCGTCAACACCAGCAATAGCACTCAACATTGTACCCTTATACCATTCACGTTGATCTGTTGCTGCATCAATAATCCACTGGTGTTTTAAACTTCTTCCAACAAATTTCACTTTTGAGACTCGTGAAGTAGACATATGAAGTAAAAATACAAATTTAGGAACCATCATACTTATTCATATTTATTTCAACACAAACATTTTATGATTAGGGAATGTCATGAAGGGACATAATTAAACAGATAAAATACAAATTTAGGAACCATCATATTTATTCTTATTATTTCACCACAAACATTATGATTAGGGAATGTCATGAATGGACATACTTAAAATAGTATGCTTTAATTGCATGTACCTTAATGATGGAGTTGTCACTACATTGGCTGCATCAGTACTGCTTCTTCTACCTGAAGATGTCTTCTTGGTCTTTGTTCTCCCTTTCCTGTAAATATCGTACTTTTATATAACACTAAACTAAAGTCAAATCCATACATTGTGAGAAACTAGGAAATATCATGTATCTCCATTTTCTGTTTTCTAAATAAATACTATTTGTATTCCAGTCAATGCAGTCTCCTTATGTTTTGTCATAGATTATGCAACCATTTTCATTCTTAGACTATTAGCCTGTAATCCAGGTGTTATTCATGTTGCTTATATATTGTCTGGTAGCAGTTTAACACTGTATAATGTATAAGTGCTTTATATAAATTGTACCTGAAAAACAGGAGTTAGGATGCATATGTTTCTATTGTGAATTTTAAAGATTTTTATAAATAATGTTAACAATTTTTAGGGTGTCAATATAATATTTTACTGTTACAATGTACCTTAGAGACGGTCTGTTTCTGTGGGCTGCATTCTTTCTTCCTGTAGAGTCAAATTCATCGTCTGTTGGTGTTTTACGTCTACTTGCAGTTGTTGGTCTCTTGCTTGTTAAATCAACATACTGAAATAACAAGGATGTAAATGTCAGAATCAAAATTAAAAAAATGAAAGTGTAGAGTTTTAACATTTTAAAGAATATTTATACATATTAATCATATTAAAGCAGGGTTCGTACAGAAAAAATGACTAGAAAAAGGAGGGATGCCCTTTTAAACCACTTCATTATTTTAGAAATGAAACAGCTGTATTAATTAATATTAACAAGTGATCACTGAATACACATTTCCCCATTTTTATTTTTAATTACTTTGTTTAAATTTTGTAATTAAAATGGAGACATACATGTACAGGAAAACAATTATCACAAGCATTTTTCAAGCACTCCATGTAAAAACTAAGCACATGATAATTTCTAAGTACTTCTTTCTAAGCACCCCTCTCAAAACTAAGCATTTTTCAAGGTTTGTACGGACCCTAGTCATATCATGGATTTAACCAGTACACAGTTTTACAGATGACTGTTAACATTCAACATTTTATCCTGTTATATACCAATTTAATGTATAAACTCACCCAAATACCTGGTTCTCTTATTCCTGGACTTTTTCCTTCTCGTGGAAGTGTTAATTCAGGGAGCAGAACCTTATGATAGAAACCTGTAAGTTTAGGGAGCATGTTGCGTTCCCAAAAATCCTCGTTCCGATGAATTCTCTGGATGTGTAGTTGATAAGGATCACATGTTCGGACAACCAAATCTATCCAGGGATAATCGCACACATTCAACAACCCATGGCATTGGAAGAAATACTCTCGTAGGGATAGTTTGCCACCTTTAATTTCTTGACAAAATTGCTTTTGACTTTCTGCAGCTTGATATAATGTCAATGCTTTGTTTTAAAGGACATTCTTTACTTCCACCAATCCAACATCTCCATTACTGACACAAACTTTACCATCTGAACTTCCTCCCAAGAATTTGTATTTCTTGTCAATAACCAGCCCAACAGGTTCGATTTCCACATTCATGTTTTCCTCTGCTTTTTTAAATTTATATTCTTCTAAAGTGTTGTGTTCCGGAAGTAATCCATTTTTTTGTATAACTATTTCCTTGAAATTTATTGTAGAGATGTTTTCGGACTATGCTTAAAACAGGTAATGAAGGATTTCGACGAACGATAGAGCCAAAATTGGATGCTGTTAATCTCTTTCTTCTTTCATCATGTCACAAGCCAGACTGAGACTGATGGAGTTTGTCTTCTCAATTTCCTTTATCTTACCACAGGTTAAGTTGATGTTTGTTTCAATGAAAGTGTTCTGAAGATCATCCAATTTTGAAGGTATCACATCATCGGACACATTTAAAGCTTCAGGTCCTGATGATAGTCGGGCTTTCTTTGTGTTGGACTGTGCAACGCTACTAATCTTTCTCTTCCATCTTTTTGCCTTTGTTTCTGGCTTTGATTTGTGAACAGTTGTGTTGAAGTGCAGTCTTTCCCTTTTTTCATACAAAGTGGTGAATTTGTTGCCAGGTTCAGTTGCAGTTGACATTTTCCACACTTTTGGAGACCATTGTGGCCCTAGATTCATACGTAGTGCACCCCCATAACACCTTCCATGCCACTATCCTCTATTACATAAATTATATACTTTGCCACCATCGAATTTGGAACAGATATGCATCCAACTTTCCGCTATGTTGGTTGTCATGCATCCAATAAGTCTGCTGCTTTTGTCTGCAATGTTTGACAGGATGTTTGACACATCTTGGAGGATGAACTTCTCCACCTTACTGTAAACTGTAGATGTTCCTAAACGGGACTCGTCCTGTGCCGTTACGGAGGATCCTTCTGACCTCATTTTGACCTGGTCATTTATAACATCTTTGACCGTTTCCACTGTTGACTGTGAAGAACCTACTTCAGTTGATGATGTCGATGCAGTATCTGCTTTAGGTTTGGCCTTGCAGAAGTCCGAGCAGTTGTCATGATGACCAAAAACATGATAGACTGACTGAATGATGTCACGTTTCAGATTTGTTACTGCTAACTGTCTATTTCCACTTGAAGTAGCCTCATTTGTTCTCATGCGAATATCACACCGTATTGTACTTACAATTCTCACTCTTGTTACCTTGGTGAGATGGTGTTTGCCCTTGTAGGCCGGATTTTCTGCCACAAATTTCTCTAATTTAGAGTGTACACATTTACAAGCATGGTTTGAGCACTCAAATTTTCCCCCCAAATTCGGACTTGCTTCCTTATCCTAGCGAAGACAGACGAATCACCATCCCCGATCAGCCTCATATAGCGGACACCATGTTTTGATTCAGATTGACAAAACCCTTCAGCAATTATGTCAGCCTCCATAGACTGGCTACTGTCATTCCAGTTTTTAAAGCATTTATGAAGTTTTGCTGGTTGCTGTTTCTGTTGTGCACTATTGCAAATATAGCAGTATTTATTGCAAACACCAATATGCAGTAGATATTTGGTCTCCTGTCCAATAATAATAGCAACACCACCAAGCGCATTATAGCTTTGTTTAACGGTCCGTATGGACCATCCACCATCAGCAATCACTGTGATACTGGGAACGTCCCCATGGTAGTTACCCTTGTTACTGGCAATCTGTCTTTCTTCTGCGCCCACAAGTAGCAACTCGGTTTGCAAAGCATTCTTCCACCACTCACCTATCTCCTCCTCAATTGATGAAAATGATGTTTGTGACATACCTGGCGAGTCGAGTGTTGCGAAAAACTCATTCATATGAGCAGGTCCTGTTACAATACTCCCCCAAACTGGCCTTACATGAATATTAAATCTCCCTGAATGAGGAAGCTTCGGACTTGTTTCAAAAGTAAATGTTTGACGGCATCCTTGACACTCTGCTAACAAAACACTTGCCAAACCAAGTGTACGCTGCTCAGACACTAATTTTATAGGGGCTTCACCTTTCGCTGACAACAACAACGCATGTTCACACTGAGAAGCATGTACAGTTGTAGACGTCACATGTTGTTGAAGACTATCAAGATTCACAAACCTGTATCCATTTCCACATAAGTTATTCACTCTACTTATTTTAAGTTTTATTGAGTTGTTTTCAGATGCATTGCACACACTATATATTTTCTTTACAGAATTTTGAGACACAAGTGCTTTGCTGAGCGCAGAGTTCTAACTTGGAATATCCTCTTTCTGTAAAACTTCAATGATAAAGTTGAACTTGGGCCTGGTATAGTTGTGCAGGTATTCTTGTCAATAACAAATTTATATTAAGGTCTCCCTGGTTGAACAGTTTTATATTTCAGTAAATTGATACCTGTTGAAATCCCAAACCTTTTCTTAGTCTTTTTCCTTGATGTACCCATATTTTGAGCAAAAATATATCAAATTCTATGTCCAGAATCGTTCCTGTATATGGAATTCTATCTCGAGGACTGCCACATCATGGCACATGGTTAGGTCGGGGTTCCATAGAAATAGTATAATGGTTGTTTTTCGCTAATATCCTTCAATAAACTTATGTTATTTAAAACCAATAATTAAAACCCATTTTAACATAAATGAGATAAAGCAAACAAAATAAATAATATGAAAAACGCTTATCGGAGGTCTTTCGGGTGCGACGAATCACCAAAACGGACCAATTGGACCGAATCGGACCGAAACAGTGTTGGTTCTGGTTTTGTTCACACACGGTCACACACATTATTCAAAACTGTTTTCTGTATTCAAATGTATTATTCGCTTGGAATAATCGTATACCTTTCGTTTCGGTCCCGATTCGGTCAGTTTCAGTCCGATTCGGGAAGTTTCGGTCCGTTTCGGTGATTTGTTGCACCGAATGTTTTTGACAGCTCACGTCAAACGTGTTGCATTACAGTCTAATTACATCCTTTATTTCTTAGCATCAACTTGCGATCTTCAATCAATTAAGTACAACACTTACATACACCAAATAATAATATACTACACCTTTACTTACCATATATTTCGTTTCTGTCACGACTCAGCCACTGAAAAGGGTTTGTGAATAGGGACGCACCACCCGCCGGAACTGCTTTCACACTAAAGAGTTCCGTTTCTAAAAAGGAACAAATAAGTATTTACAGATCGAAATTAAGAGAACACTATTTAGTAATAATATTTTATCTTAAATGGAATTACTGCATATACTTGATACTTGCATATCAAATTCCAAAAAATAAAATAAAAAAAATTGGTGCGGAATAATTGTTTAGAGTCTGAGGGCGACAGGGAATGGATATCGAAATATAATTGATGACTGTAAGTAGTTATGATCGTGACATATATTTAGTACCCCATGCATGTCTTACTATTGGCACATTTTACCAAAAAGTGACATATTTGGTGGGATATCGGTGTTTGATTTTCACAGAAACGCTTTTTCCATGTCAATGGTAAGACTATGGGAAATATAGCAAATACTGTACTAATATCCGGAGCACCTAGAATTGGTATCAAGGTAATGATTTATATTAAAGTTATTGTATTTTGGACTCAAATAAACACATTGCATTTCTCACAAGAAATAACAATGTGTTGATACTATTATTGAGCTAAAATGGGATTGTGGTAGTAAATTAATCTTCATTGGTACACTCAAATTACTGAACTGGGACATTGTTTCAATATCTTTTAAAAATACTGACTGATTTGTCAAAGAGGGACATGTTATATCAAAAACGTGGTTTCTCTGTAGCTCATTATAGGCAACAATTTTGACTTGAGCAGAGCCTTAAACACTGATAGGGCTAGTCCAAAAACAGGGCCGCACACAGAAGAAATCACTGTAAATCATGCGGAAGGAACTTAATGCATTTTCACACGAATTACTATACATCCATGGGACCATAAACAACCCTGCATGTCCTTAAACAATAACTGATATATACAAGACTTGTTAAATTACATAACAATCATATTAGCACAGTTTACATATATAATAATAGTGATCAGCTGATCAACATATACACAATAACAAGCTGTCTACCATAGGTAGTAACAGTGTATGACATGTAACAAACTTCACCAACAATGGTGAGAATTACATAATACATGTACCATACAGTACAAGTACGAGATATGAGATAGGTATACATTTGTATGACTTGTTCACCTGTACGTATACATGGCCGGATCGATTTCATCCGTCTTAGCTTTGCATTTTTGTGTCGGGCAATTGCTCTATTATTCCTTTAATGAGGATGTGTACTGATTTATTTATCAGTCGACGAAGATAACGTTTGTGGGGAAATATTGCTTCTGCGGTACAGTGTTGTTGCATGTTTTTGCATATTAAATTGATTGTATCGGGTTGTGTTCTGTTCGTATTTAAACCTTACGCTTCAAGGTTATTTTGTTATTTGTAAGAGGGATGATCCCGGGGTACCCCTTCCCTGGCATCCCTCCCAAAGATGCTGGGGTAATAAAATACAATTTGAACCTAAAAAAAAATGCACTAGTTAATATTCTGCGCGTGTGGCTTTAGTTTCCCCAAGATAACTTGCTTTAATATCGTTCGAATTTGATGAAACTATGTATGAATTTATATCATAGGAAGACTGAGGCTAATTTGGAGGTAAAAGCAAATTACGTGGATATTACTTAGCATACTGTGCTCCGATTTGTTGACGGTTTCGTACATTAAATTTGTTGAATATGACCGAGTTTAGATTCAGCTTGGTCAATATTTATATTATTATACAATGACAAAGTCTAAGCTTTAATGTGAGAAAAACCTGCACTTGCAGTATTAGGATACTGCAATCTGATTGGTCGACGGTTTCCGCACATTAATTCTGACGAGACTTAATAAACATTTACACTTTGTCTAATATCAAACTTTGTCAGTAATTAATAAACAATAACAAATATATTTAGTTTAAATGGTGTAATATGAATCGTTTATTGGCGAAAAGGGGCATTTTAAACTTCCATTTTCATGGTTTGAAATGTACAAAGAGAGGCAATTGCAAATTAAGTTTTAAATATCATAAAGGATATATGAAATAGGTATATTAATTCAGCTTAAGTTGGTTAAGTCACGGACCTAATTCCGTGGTTAAGTACAGTATGTTTCTTACTACATTTCCATATTTGCATACATTTATACAAAACAATGCATCAGATGGATTTTGAACATGTCAGATTGGCAAGGGACAGGAGTATATTGTCCCACCTTGCGGTACTCTTGTTTATTTATTTTTATTAATTCTGTTGAACGACAATATAAGAAGTGAGCATTGTTTGCATTTTGGTTCTCCAATCATATGCTTTGTAACATGTCGTCTATGGCGAATTAGATTGTAAGTGACCTACTTTACAGCCTACAACTTTTATGTAACAATATGATGGGTGCCGGGTTGCGGATTCAGCATTTTTCGAACAATGGTTCGAATATATCACAAATAATACATATCACAAATGATACTCACAAATAATACATGTCACAAATAATACATGTCACAAATAATACATATCACAAATAATACATATCCCAAATTATGCATGTCACAAATAATACTCACAAATAATACATGTCACTAATAATACATATCACAAATAATACATATCACAAATAATACATGTCACAAATAATACATGTCACAAATAATAAACATCACAAATAATACATATCACAAATAATACATGTCACAAATAATACATGTTACAAATAATGCATGTCACAAATAATAAATATCCCAAATAATACATATCAGAAATAATACATGTCACAAATAATACAAGTCCCAAATGATACATGTCACTAATAATTCAAGTCCCAAATAATACATATCACAAATAATACATGTCACAAATAGTACATGTCACAAATAATAATACATATCACAAATAATACATATAACAAATAATACAAGTCCCAAATAATACATGTCACAAATAATACAAGTCACAAATAATACATATCACAAATTAAAATGTCTGTTAAAAATGAAAACCTCTTGACCCGAACAAGGCAACTGGTTTTGTTTTTGGTGGTTGTTTTTTTAGGGATCACGGTCTCTTTCCATTTGTTTATGAACCTCCCCTTTTCCTATTCCTGTTTCTTCGTTTAAATTTTGCCATTGGGAATTGACGTTATGATGAACCTGTTTTTGGTTTGCTTCTGGAACCATAGTTCCTGTATAATTTTGAGGTTTTTGGTAGAAGGTTTATTACAGTGTTTGCGAAAATTGTGGGCAAGATGATAAAAATTCCACAGACGTAAACGCTCTTTCACGTTTTAAAAAATATTTCGTAAGCTTCTGATATGTGTTTAAAAGGCAACGTGACGGAAATACATTTAATCCAAGCATTTAAATTAGCCTCTTCTCGTTCACGTATATCCTTTACACTTCAACAGGAAATTAAGTGCAGACGAGGTCATACTTTCCGGGGGTTGACAAACTAAATTCGTCCAATACACAGTTTTATTTTCTGATATTTGCAATACAGGGACCACTTTTGCAATCGCACGGTGTGTTGGGAAATACATATGAAGGCCGTGTCTAATACCCAATAGTGCATAAATATTAACCAATGGAAACTTCCATTAAATCACCGGAGTATCCGATGAAGAAAATACTACTGCTATGATTCATAGAGGGTAATGTAAATAGATCTATCAATGGTTATACTAATGGTTGTATAGTACAATCATTTATGTTGCTAAAACCTGTGCACAATCTGCTCTCACAGAAATAAATTATGTTAACAACTTATCTCTAAGCCCAGGCCACTTAGCGGTAATATGAGACGCGCATTTCTGCTGACCTACCGTACTGCTCTATACTTAACGTGTAATGAACAGCATTAGTTAGGGAGATTAAAATGGTCGTATCGATTGATTTATCAATGCATTACTGTGTAGCCTTAATTAGCCACTATATACTTATACTATATACCACCTACATGTGTGAACATGTATAGGGAGCATTCTTCCTGTTGAGATGTTTTTAGATAAGGTAAGATATTGAAACCGTCTTAGGAGAAGAGGAAATACTTCGTATACATGTCCAACAGTTACATTGTGTAATAAATGTACATGTATATTCCATTACAGAGTAGACACATATGTAAGTACAGCTAGATTGCATGTGTAGTACGTATCCAGGGTAAATATTTCCCGTTGAGATATTTAAATAAGGTATAAGATATTTTCATTACTGGAGGGTTGAATACCGAGTACTAAACTCTTTATACACACATTATCTGAATACACAACAGACTATACATAGACCGTGTTTGAATTGCGGCCTCCCTGTCATGGTCACGGTCATACACAACGTTAACCTGTGTGACTATTAGGGTATTGGGAAAAACATGTACATAATGAAATATCGGTATGTGATATAAATCGCTAGTACGTTCTTCTGGATTAAAGGCGTATTTACACACTCGATGTGTTATAGAAGCAGGGTGACATTCTGACTTATATTTCCAGTAAATAGTCCAAGGCAGGGAGAACCTGTGTGTACCACGAAGGTTAACCTTGTTGGAGAAGAATTGACTGCCGTGACTCGGAAAATCAGTGTAACGTTACGTGGACATGGGGGTAAAAAATCTTGATATCCGTGTGAATGGCGGTCAGTCCGTGTTCTATCCCGGCCAGATGGTACAGGGAAATATACACCTCGACGTGGATAGCGATACCAAAGTCAAAGGTAAACCATGCAAATTTATGTTGAAGATGAAGAGTTTGACCGGTAGAGGAAAGGTGGGCGGAGACCAGAACTATCAATGTCGGCGATATAAGTACGCCGGGGGTTGCGATTTGAGGGTAGAATGTATTCATAATCTGTGTAAATGGATATCGAAGATGACATGTACATGAAGCATATGTCACGTACTGATTAAAGATGTCGTGGATACTGTATGTACATACATATATACAAAGTATAGGAGTACTTCCGGGCGAAGAGTTTGGGTCAGTAAAAGGCAGTGCAAGTAATGTCAGATTGCTGTACATGTTACTGATGTGATGTACGGTAACACTTGTTAAGCGCCTTATCTTTTCTGTTGGAATTTATAAGTACTATAAGGCGCCTAACATTTAAATAATGATAGACATCTATAAGCAACCTTATATACCACATCTGACCACATTTTGCTTGCCCCAATAAGTGTGAAGGTGAACCAGTTATAGGTCACTGAAAAAAATGTATTATGTCGTAATAACAACAGCGACTTACTTTCTTGTAATAACGACATCGCTATTTCACAAAAACGGCATAACTGTGTCGTAATAACGAACACTATCTCGTAATAACAACTTATTACCTTCTTGTAATAACGATATAATTATTTCATAATAACTACATAACTATATTATGTCGTGATAACAAACTTAGAATAGGGACTTATTTTCTAGCAAGATAGCTAAGTCGTTATTACGAGTTAGGTAAGTCGTTATTATGAGGTAGCTAAGTCGTTATAACGAGGTAGCTAAGTCGTTATTACGAGGTAGCTAAGTCGTTATTACGAGGTAGCTTAGTCGTTATTACGAGGTAGCTAAGTCGTTATTACGAGGTAGCTAAGTCGTTACAACACGATAGGTAAGTCGTTATTACGAGGTAGCTAAGTCGTTACTACAAGATAACTAAGTCGTTATTACGAGGTAGCTAAGTCGTTACTACATGATAGGTAAGTCGTTATTACGAGGTAGCTAAGTCGTTACTACATGATAGGTAACTCGTTATTACGAGCTAGCCAAGTCGTTACTACATGATAGCTAAGTCGTTATTACGAGATAGCTAAGTCGTTACTACATGATAGGTAAGTCGTTATTACGAGGTAGCTAAGTCGTTACTACATGTTAGGTAAGTCGTTATTACGAGATAGGTAAGTCGTTACTACACAGGGGCGTAACAAACGGGTTTTCAATGTGTAAGCCAACGATGAAGTGTGCTGCCGAAGGCAGCACCCCGAAACGCGTAGCGCGAGGAGGGGGAGGGTATGGGAGGGGGTTTTCCGCCTCCCATTGGTGGGGGTTTTGGGGGTCTCCCCCAGGAGAATTTTGTTTTCTAGAACACATGAGACGCGTTCTCCCTTGTTCTGGCGTCAGTTTTAATGGCCATTTTAAAGCAAGAAAATATCATTTTCCCCTATTATTTTACAAAGATTTTGCTTCTTTTTGGGTACGAAGGGATTGGTACTCGTCTACGCCAGTTCTATTATGGTGTTCGGTAACATTATTCCACGGGAAAGAAAAATCCAAAATTATGTGGATTTTGGGATACTTGTTGTAAGAGTGTGACGTTTCTCCTCGCGACTGTGACTCCGGTTGCGCATAGATATGAGACTTGTATCACAAGCTAGCACGAATATGCTACCCTCAGTGCTACATTTGTTAGAGACTTTGATTGCAACGAAGCATTTTAGTTGGCGGTCTTTATAGCAGATACAAAACATCTGTCATTGCTTTTTAATATTTTATATCATATAGTCTATGTTGCGTTTATTTTATTTTTATTTTGTCAAAAATGATGTGTAAGCCCGGGCTTTTTTGCTACATAGGTTGTTACGCGCCTGCTACATGATAGGTAAGTCGTTATTACGAGGCAGGTCAGTCGTTATTACGAGGTAGCTAAGTCGTTACAACATGATAGGTAAGTCGTTATTATGAGGTAGCTTAGTCGTTTCTACAAGATCGGTAAGTCGCTATTACGAGATAGGTAAGTCGTTACAAGATGTACAATATAGCTAAGTCGTTCCTACGAGGTAGCTAAGTCGTTATTACGAGATAGCTAAGTCGTTACTACATGATAGGTAAGTCGTTATTACGAGGCAGGTCAGTCGTTATTACGAGGTAGCTAAGTCGTTACTACATGTTAGGTAAGTCGTTATTACGAGATAGGTAAGTCGTTACTACAAGATCCGTAAGTCGTTATTACGAGATAGGTAAGTCGTTACCAGGTGATAGGTTAATCGTTATTACGAGATAGCTATGTCGTTACTTCATGATAGGTAAGTCGTTATTACGAGGTAGCTAAGTCGTTACTACAAGATAGGTAAGTCGTTATTACGAGGTAGGTAAGTCGTTACTACATGATCGGTAAGTCGTTTTTTACGAGTTTTCTAGATGTACAATATAGGTAAGTCGTTATTACGAGGAATTAAAAGCTTAGTCGTTACTACATGTACAAGATGGCTAAGTTCTTACTACAAGATAGCTTAGTCGTTATAACGAGATATGTAAAGCGTTACTTCATGTACAAGATAGCTAAGCCGTTATTACGAGGTAACGAAGTAGTTGCTACATGATAGGTAAGTCGTTATTACGAGATAGGTTAGTCGTTATTACGAGGTAGCTAAGTCGTTATTACGAGGTAGCTAAGTCGTTACTACATCATAGGTAAGTCGTTATTACGAGGTAACGAAGTAGTTATTACGAGGTAGCTAAGTTGTTTTTACGAGGTAGTTAAGTCGTTATTACGAGGCAGTTAAGTTGTTATTACGAGATAGCTAAGGCGTTACTACATGTACAAGATAGCTGAGCCGTTATTACGAGATAGGTAAGTCGTTATTACTAGGTAGCTAAGTCGTTTTAATGAGATAGCTTGTCGTTACTACATGAACAAGATGACTAAGTCGTTACTACGAGGTAGCTAAGTCGTTATCACGAGGTAGCTAAGTCGTTGCTACATGTTAGGTAAGTCGTTATTACGAGATAGGTAAGTCGTTATTACGAGGTAGCTAAGTCGTTATTACGAGGTAATTAAGTCGTTACTACATGATAGGTAAGTCGTTATTACGAGGTAATTAAGTCGTTACTACATGATAGGTAAGTCGTTATTACGAGGTAGCTAAGTTGTTACTACATGATAGGTTAGTCGTTATTACGAGGTAGCTAAGTCGTTACTACATGATAGGTAAGTCCTTATTACGACATAGGTAAGTCGTTATTACGAGATAGGTTAGTCGTTATTTCGAGTTACAGTGTAGCAAAGTCGTTATTACGAGGTAGCTAACTCGTTATTACAAGAAAGGTAAGTCGTTACTTCATGATAGCTACGTCGTTACTTCATTACAAGATAGCTAAGTCGTTATTACTAGGTAACTAAGTCGTTTTAATGAGATAGCTTAGTCGTTACTACATGTACAAGATGGCTAAGTCGTTACTACAAGATTTGTAAGTCGTTATTTCGATGTAGCTGAGTCGTTATTACAAGGTATGTAAGTTGTTACTACATTACAAGATATCTAAGTCGGTATTACTAGGTAGCTAAGTCGTTATTACGAGATAGCTAAGTCGTTTCTACATGTACAAGATAGCTAAGTCGTTATTACGAGGTAGCTAAGTCGTTACTACATGATAGGTAAGTCGTTATTACGAGGTAGCTAAGTCGTTACTTCATGATAGGTAGGTCGTTATTACGAGGTAGCTAAGTCGTTACTACATGATAGTTAATTCGTTACTTCAATGTAGCTAGGTCGTTACTTCAATGTAACTAGGTCGTTACATCAATGTAGCTAGGTCTTGACTTCGGTGTAGCTAGCTCATTACTTCAATGTAGCTAGGTCGTTACTTCAATGTACCTAGGTCGTTATTTCAATGTAGCTAGGTCGTTACATCAATGTAGCTAGGTCCTGACTTCGGTGTAGCTAGCTCATTACTTCAATGTAGCTAGGTCGTTATAACAATATACACGTACCATTTTTTTCTGGTGGTGTGAAGAAGGTAGTGAAGTGATGATAACTACCAACTGCCCCCCCCC